GACTCAACTTAAAACTCTTTCGCATCTACACTTTTCCCTTTCTTCTTGCAAAGGGACTAAGCGCGTAGCTAGCTGGGCACGGAGCATTTCCAAGTCGATTTTTCGAAATTCGATCAAGCCCGCGTCGCCTGATGATTACGTTCACTTATGTATATAGAGAAAAATCCTTTTCGATATTTTGCCTCTGAAGTCGGCCGCTTCATCTAATTGGGATAAACTTTTCCAAGTGACGCAACCACGTGTTTCTTATTTTTCCACGTGATAACGATTTGGCTGTCGCTGTAAGGATATTTTCTCATATAATAACTTTTACGTAACAAGGACGGACGGAAAATTGAAAGAAAGAAGACTGAGGAGTGAAAAGAGGGGGGAGTGAGCGTTCACCTTGAAAAGTTTTCCAAGCACAGTCGCCCCTGTTATCATTGGGTTTGTACAGCAGGGAAGTTCAATGGGGTCGAGGTTGAAACGTTTAAATCTAGAGGAAAATTGTAAATACCAAAAATAGTCTCACGGCTGATCTATCCTGCATCTTGTCAGTTCAAAAAAGAAAAGTTCGAATGCCACGTCCAGCCGCCTGTGGATCTAGAACGTTTCTCGGCAAATCTCTTGTGCGTAGGAATAATCTAATCTCAGGCGCTGCGGATCCGTAAAAAGTCGATTTCTTCGGACTCTACTCGTTTAGAGACCAGAGACACGTCCTAGTCGAATCTTTCAGGCAAATCAATAATACAGAATCGCCAGGATAAATCCTTCGTCTAGAAGGAAGCTGCTCTCACCTGACTCGCCACTGAACAACCGAGTGACAAGTGCACTCTGCCACTGGCCGCTGTGACAGCGCGACGGAGGCGCCCCTGACGATGGATTCCTTAGGAACGGAAGAGAACGTATCGCAGCCAGGATTTGGCACAAGAGCTGAGTTTGTTTATTCGCGGTGGCAATGGAGATTACAGCCAAGGAAATGTTTGTTATTTCCCCGGGAGAGGAGCCCGAAAAATGAGCTCTTTCCGGAGACGCGCGCCACATGCGAATTTATTTTGGTCGAGCGCCGCCTCGCTCTTTCGAGGTGTGTCCAGCCGCCAGCCGCCAGCCGCCAGCCGCCAGCCGCCAGCGCGCTGGATGCGCGCGCGCGCATGCGCCTGTCGTCCCTGAAGGAGCCTCGTGTGCGGGAGCGTAGCTGCACGTACGTGTAGGAAGCCGCCGCGCACACTTGACTCACTTCGGGAAAGCGACGAAGCGTAAATCGACGCCCGTGTATCGCTGCCGCCATGGAAAGGCGTGCACGTCGCGCATCGGCATCAAATCTTCTTTGGCATTCTGCACTCTCTCTCTCTCTCTCTCTCTCTCTCTCTCTCTCTCTCTCTCTCTATACACGATATATATATCCGAAGCAATCGACAGATCGAGTGATCGAGGAATCGCGGAATGAAGCAAACGGGAAAAAAAGGTCGCTCCACGGGCCGCTTCCTTCGACCTAACAGAGCAAGAAATCGCATTGATTCTGCTCCTCCTCCCATAATGGTCCCCCCTTCGACATTCTCTAGGTTTCTTCCTTTTCCTAGTTGTCAATTGTTTCAGGACAGCATAAGAAAAAGATAAATTCAAAGTGCACGAAAGGCGAATTACCCGCGGAGCACCGTTAAGATTAACGAACCGGTAAATAGCCGAAATTCTTAGGCGCGTGGCGAATTAATCTCGCAATTGCTTTTATTGCCCGTTAAGAAACTATACTTTCTTCTTTACGTGCTAAAAGATACTTTTATCCTCTATTGCTCTTCCTTTTGCTTTTTAAGTTTACGACAATTTTCCCTTTATGTTGCATTACGTCAACGAATTTTTCAACGTTTGGTCGATGTGCTCGACCTTCTCTCGACTCATCTACGTGTTTCATCTGGGGACCACGTGTTAATACGAAAACTGGATGCATCCAATGCAAAATGTAAAAGCTTTGTTTTTTAAGTATTTAAAAATTTAAATCCCCCATTTACATACTTTAATTGTTTTATTCTCGACTCTTCCATTTTTGTGCTGCATACGAGTCTCGATACTCCGCTTTTTGCTTCATCTTTCATTTTGTCCTTTTATTACACGTAAGACGCGACCCTTGTCGAATACACTCTTGAATTCTCTATTCTCTATATTCTCAAGCTCCGTTTGCAACTTATCCACAGACTCTTCTCTCTGTCATGAATAGGAACCGACAAACCTATGCGCTAACAAGTATTTTCCTTTACCTCAATTTTCTTTAATTCAACCGTACAAAACGGGAAACTGATACATCGTGAATAATCAATCGCAGCATCCATTGCCAAAACGCATATACATATACCGATACAAGCGAGTACACGGAGCGACATACGAATGAGCAACCTTTTTCTTTCCTCCTCGCGGCTCTAAAGAACTTACATTTCGTAATGGTGTTGCAAATGTTGCCCCAGATTATGATCTGTGGGTGATTGCTGTTGCTGTTGTTGTTGCTGTTGTTGTTGCTGTTGCTGCTGCTGTTGCGGCGACTGTTGCTGCTGCTGCTGCTGTTGCTGTTGCTGGAGAGCGTGAAGGTGGGTTTGTGGTGGGTCCAAGTTAGAGGCCCCCAGCAAGGTAGCGCTCTCCCTGAACAACGTTGCCACTTGCATCTTTCTCGGATGATCGGATAGTCTCAACCTAAATTTTATTACGGAGGAGAAGAAGGCAAGGAAGGAGGATCGAGTAGCGATGTATTGAGAATTACGAAGGAACCAAGCTGTCAATGGTATTCCTATCAGCGTAACGTAGATTCTGCATAAGAATAAACGGCCATGCTGACGAGTTCAAACTTGAATTGATAATCCTTTTACACTGCAATCGCTCTGTTCTTCTTCTTCTTCTTCTTCTTCTTCTTCTTCGTCGTTGTCGTCTTCGTCGTCGTCGTCGTCGTCGTCGTTACTCCGTCCTTGTCGTCCTCGTCGCAATACGTAACGAGGAACGATCGCAAAGTTAAGGACACGTCTGCTCCGTCTAGTTATCCTCCTTCCTTTTCTCTCACTCGCTCCTCTCACAAAGAAGACGCACACATCACGAGGAGAAGAACGGACACGAGTTTCTGACGCACACGCACACGCGCACAGAGGGGTTCGCGCGCACGCCCCTGTCCCCGCGGCCCGCGCCCCGCGTCGCCCCACTCCTCTCGTCGTGCCACACTCTATAGCACTTCGTCGCACTTACGTTCCTCCAGCCGACCGGCCGACCGACCGACCGATCGACCAACCAACCAGCAACCAACCAGTCAACCGAGCGACCGAGCGACCGACCGACCGACCAGCCGTTCGTGTGCCGCACCGTTTGTTGCCTTGAATGCACCGAGCGAGAGAGAGAGAGAGAGAGAGAGAGAGAGTGAGAGAGAGAGAGACGCACGAGAGCGACGTCAAACTAATAAAGCCTCTCCGTCGGAGTCATCCTCGGCGAGGGAGAGGAGGTTCTCGAGCTCCGGGGCTGCGGAGCCCAAGGGCCAAAAGGCCCGGTGGGCTCGTGGCCCTTACGCACTTCGATTCACTATAGTTATCCTCGTTTCACTAGTTTCACTAGTTTTCACTGGCAGCGCGCGCGTTCGGCACTCCGGTAAGACTCACGAATTCACAAACTAAGGATTTCTCAAGACGTTCAGTCGCTCAGGCGTTTCGCTGCTGCTGCTGGCGTTACTGCTGGTTCTGCTGCTGCTGCTGCTGCACGGGTTACGAGCGGAACGCTCGCACCACGGTGACGACGAAACGACCGGCTTCTCGTTCTCCTCTTACTCTCTCCTACCTTCGTCCTCGCCCTCGCCCTCGCTCTCTCGCTCTCGCTCTCGCTCTCACTGGCTGTGCTGCTACTCATGGACCGTCGCAAGTCCCGGCGATGCCACCGGCCCACCAAAGATAACCTCCCACCTTCTACGCCGCCTTCGTCTCCTTTTACTATTCCTTCTTATCGTTCCTCTTTCTTCCTCTCTCTCTCTCTCTTGTACTACTACGTCTCCTTTGCTTCTTCCCCTCTTCGCCCATACGTATATTCCGCAAGTCACTAGTTTCCTCGCCCACCTCTACTCACTACCTCTCACTCTCTCTTTCCCTGAGCGCTGTCTTCTCGGACTTCCTATGGCTTGTTGTTGCTGCATGCCCGCAGCTCTCCTCGCGCGTCGCCAGAAACCGTTTCTTCATATGTAGAGAACTCGTGGCGGCGCAGATTGGCCTGACACCTTGCCGTCGCTGCTTTAAACTCCTCGACGAATGTAACTTGGCGCGCACACCGTATCAGCCCGAAAAACTTGAAGAAACGGTAAGCGAATCGCTGCTCCGAAGGCCTCCGAAGGCAGCCGTACTCAGCCGTACTCAGCCGTACTGGCCGACCGTGCCGCTCCTCCTGCTCTTCTCCTCCGC